TATTTTCTTGAATGCCATGATTTTAGTTCTGTCAAATAAATTTCTTGTTTTATTTTCTCAGATGTGTAGGACATCAAGAAGGTCCGCCTTCGTGACGAAGTCTACGATGCCGTTATTTCATAAGGTACTTTTTCTGGATATTATTTGATTCATGGCTCTTAATTTCGGCTTTCCTTCTGTGTTTTCAGTGAAATGTTCTGTGATTTCATCATTTTCGTTACTAGGCACATCCTTGATTGTTTCATTCAGATTCCGTTAAGTTTCAGCAATAATCAAGGAATGTTGATGGCTATTAATTCAAAATTCAGAATTTTTGCTTCATTTCCAGAAGTGAGTTATACTTTTCTTTGTCCTTTTTTGCCTTCTTGCAGTTAGAATTTAGAGCTGACATCTGAAAAGAAGTTGTAGATCGCTCTTCCACCTTCACAACCATATAAATAACTCACAAATCTGAGCTAAGGATCTCAAGTTATGATCTTTGAAAGATAACTGCTGGTTGCTAAAGTTCTTCTGCACACTTATGTTTCAGTTCTGATGGCTGAGATTTCAACTGAAGTTTTGACAATTGAAATGCCTGAATTTAGAGAAGTTTTCTGCAAGACATTTGTGGCTGTTTTTTTCAGCTTCGCACAAGTACCAAAAACATCCAAATCCGACTTAAGAATTTGAAGTTATGGTCTCCAGAAGTTGGTTCATTTTGTTGAAGTTCCAGCAGGTTCATGGATAGTTTTGACTAGTAAATTTCAGCTGCATTTCTGGCCATTTAAATGCCTGAATTTGCTGAATCTTTCCTCATGACAGTTCAAGATCATGTTTTGAGCTTCACAACTATACCAAGAACTTTTCATTTAGAGATATGGATCTCTAGATATGACCTTCTAAACAGGATATATCATCACCAATTGAAACTAGAGAATTTCTAGCAATTTTGCTTTGTTTTCTTTCATTTTTGCACGAATCGATTTCCCTACATCAGTAGACCACAAAAGTTAATATTTGTGCCTTTTTAGTCCATAAATCCACAAAAAAATGGGTCAAAAATAAGAAAAAACACTATGAATTATTCGAGATAGCCAATATGTTAAGTATTCATCATTGGTGCCGACCGTGATTCTATTTTACCTTTGCCAATGAAACAAATGGAGCCACCACAGGGGCGGCTTAATCTGTTCAGGGGCCTAAAGCAGTTTTGAGTTTTGATATAGGGTTTTTTGAGTTTTGAGTTTTCTTTTTTTTTTTATTCATAATTGTATAATTTATTCACATTTTCATAGCTTAGATTTGCTCATAAATTAACTAAAAGAAAAATAGTTATGCTCACAACATTATGATCAATCTAATTATTGCCTTAATTAAAACAAAAAAAAGAAAAAGAAAAGAACATAGTGCATATTTGCTAATCTCTGAACATAGTGAACACAGTGATATTATTTTTCCTTTTGTTAATGTTTTTCTATTATTTTTTAATTTTATTATCTTTTTTATTTTATATTTTCTTCACTCTAAATTTATTTTTCTAAAACTACTTTTACTAATCTCATAAGTAATTAATTCTTATAAATTCAAATAAGAAATTTAAATATATAGATATAATGTGAATATATCTATATTGAAGTTTACATATCTTATCGCGCATCAAAAAATAATTATCATAACAATATTACTTTTTTAAAATCTAGATGATATCCTAAATGTGAAATTTCAAATGTATTTTACAGGTTTAATTGTTCAAATAATTGGGTGAACTATTTTTGTAAAAATCATATCTCTACCTCCAAGCACTTTTAGATTATCAAGTGAATGTGGAGATCAGTTCCATGATAGAACCGGAAGTACGTATAAAGGGTATGACGTGCTATTATATAAAGTTCTCCATGTCACTAACAAAATAAGTGACTCCCAAAAGGCCCATTGACTCATTCCTAAGGAAGTCATGCGAAAGATCTTTACTTCGATCTCGACTACATGAAACTTTTTGTATACCCATTGCAAATCCACTTAGAAGGCCATGCTAAAAATTCAACATATATGATAAGCCAGTGCATCTTGGCGCCAAAAAATGATATCATTAACAATATTAATGTCAAGTTAATAGATTGCTTCTCAAGAAATCTAATACCCAAAATTTAGATAATGATGTCGTAAATAATGAAGATTTTCTATACTCAATAAACCCAAAATGCATCTTTTTAAAAGACATCAAATTCAAAAGAAAAGGATACAATTTCTCATAGAACTATGTTTCGCCATGACCATTAATAAGTCACAAGGGCATACTCTACAATACGTCGGACTATACTTGCAAGAGCCAGTGTTCTCACACAGACAACTATATGTGGCACTTTCTCGAGTAAAGATATCCAAAACTCTCAAGGTCCTACATGATTAAACGATATGGTCAAAGATTAAAAAAAAAAAAAAAAACAAAATGTTGTGTACCATGAGATATTCGACCTCACTATCGCATAAGGCACAAGTCTACCTTTCCCATTTGCTCCGACGATTGTAATTTTTATCCTCCTCTAATATTCCCGCACATTGATTGTTATTTTTATCTTTTTTATAATCAACAACAATGAATTTCACTGAGATAATAATAAACAAAAAGCATGTATACCAAATAGAAAACAAACTACACCAAGTTATTTATAAGGTGCGTCGTGCATTGCGCGACGAATGTTAGAGCACTAGTATGGTTTATAAACGCACAATGTATTTCGTTAGTTGGATTTAAATGGACAACTAAAATATAAAACACTATTTAAGAATACGGTAAACCTTTACTAAATTAATAATATTGAAATTACCAAAATTTACAAAATCTGTAATCAATAAATTAATAAATTATTGATTTAAAGAGTTTTCTTTACAAAATCTATTTCATTACTTAATTCTCTATCATCTTTACAATTTGAATCAATAAAAACTAAACTTCTCCCAATACTGAACTCATACACCATTTTATAAATCTATGTAGGTCTATTCATATAAAACATAAGAATGACATTATGATCTTTTTCTTATCAATCATTATTGAATAATTTTCAGTAAATTAATAAATTTTAATTTCTAAAAAAAATAAAAAAAAATCATACGCAATTTACACCATCTTCATGGACTGAGAAAACAAGCATCGATAAGTTTACATTTTAGTAAATCTTTATAGTTATTACATTTTATTTAGGATAACTATTAATTTATAATATTGTCGGTACTTGCATGAAGGATTTTTTAAAACGGTATTATTATTTCATCGATTTTGTTCACGTTGGTACTGATTTTAATTGGAGACAAAGGAAACTTAATAATTTAATAAAATTATTAATTTATAAACTTTTAATTTAGCGAAGGTTTAAAGTACCTTACATAATTTATTAAACTAAGGCCCTGTTTGATAATCACTTAATATAGTGACTTAATTTATTTAAGTACTTAATGAAATTGAGTGTGTTTGATAATCGCTACTAAAAAGTCTTAATGAACTAAATTTTGAACTACTTAAGTACTTATAAATTAAGTGTGTTTGATAACTGAAATATCACTGTCTGAATTAATTAAGTGCATCTGAAGGCCAGTTCAATTGTGTGCCAGAAAATAAGTGATAGGCCTACCACTTATCACTTAACACTTAATTTCTATAATGACTCTTTTTTTTCTTTTTTCTTTTTTTTTCTCTCGTCTTTATTTCGATGCTTATTTTTTCATTATATATACCAAAAACTTGTTTTAAATTTATTATTTTATTATTTATAACAAATATTAGTTATTTTTTTATTTAAAATTTTTTTGTTTATAATTCACTTTTAATGATATTAAAAATTTAAATAACTTTCAGACCTGAGTATTCAGATTCAGTCTTCAGATTTCAGACTTTAGTCTTCAGACATTAAATTCAGATGTTTTTATCAAACAATTTAAATTCAGTTTTCAAACTTCAGATTTCAATGTTAAGTGTTCAGATTCAGACTTCAGTGATTATCAACTCTTTTTATTTTTTTCCCCCCTTAATTTCATAAAATTTTATCAAAACTTTTTTTAAGCCCAAAAACATGAGCAACATGCTCTATTTAAATTCTTATAAATTAGTTCCTGATAAAGGAAAGATTTTCTCAGGGGTAAGCGTTATTAAAACTTACCATGATTTATATAAACAAGGTTAGCTCAATTTAAAGTTATGAGAAAGGCGTGTTAAGGGCATTGATCCCAGTTGACTTATATAAAATCAATGTTAACGGACTTAATTTCTCGATAACCTTTCCTACTTGACTTGAGATTTCCTTAATTAGTCTATTTAACTCTCTATTGTAGTTGTAGTATCATTATTAATTTATTAACTTTTAATTTAGCGAAGGTTTAAAGTACCTTACACAATTTGTAAAACTAAGTTTTAATTTCTATAAACTCTATTACTGTACATTACCCTAACCATTTTAATAAAATCATAATCTCAACTCTTTTTCTTCTTTTTTTTTCTTAGTTTCATAAAATTTTATCAATACCTTTTTTTTAAAATCCCAAAAACATAGGCAACATGGTCTATTTAAATTCCTATAAATAACTCATAGATAATATTTACATTTTGCTCGATACTTTAATGAGATTATTATATAAATTCGTTATGATAAATAATAAAAAAGTATGATCGAAACAGGAAATAGTCGGATTTCTCACCCCATGTAAAAATCATGATTTAACGTTTTACACTCTCGTCTCCCAAGACATTAATCATCATTACACTTAAAAAAATGATTACGAAAATTACTCTTCTAATTAATGAAAGAAAAGAAAAATTGCCGCGAAAAAGAATAGTGAGAGAGAAAGGTGTGCAATTTGAAAAAGGCTGGTCAAATCAAAACAAAAAGTACCCCCAAAAAAAAAAAAAAAAAAAAACAAAGAAGAAAGTATGGAGGATTAGATGAGTTTTTTGGTCAAAGAGTCAGTCAAAATCCGCCGACCCCACACTCACTCTCAATTCTCTCTCTCTCTCTCATCAATTCTGTCAAAAATAAAAATTTACTGAAAATGAAATAGCGGACTCTTGTCGTCCAGTCAAAGCTTTTCTTCTCTGCTCTGTTCTCAGCTTTCTGCCATTCACTCCTCACTCAGCGGCGGAGAGAGAGAGAGAGAGAGAAAGAGAAGAATTAAACTGCACGATTACGTCCTCCTCTTTTCTATGTTTTGTTTGTCTCTCTGATTATTAAGAGAGAGAGAGAGAGATAACGAAAGGATCTATCTAAAATGGAGTACGAGAGGATTCACAAGGTTCAGGTTTGGGTTTCTTGTACTTTTTCTTTGTCTTCTTCTTCTTTCAGCTTTTGTATATATGTGTGCTGATGAAACTAAAGAGACTTTGGAAAATGATTTTTATTTGACTGATTTTGAGCCCTTTCTTTGAATTGGGTTCGTGCTCTTTAACGATTAAAGTTAGTCGGTTAGTAATGATTTTTGTTTGGTTGTTTTCAAATTTGCTTATGACGTTGTGCATTTGGGTTTCTAGAGGGAAATTTTTCTTTAATTGAATGAGATGGGATTTTTGGTAATATTTTTTTTTTTTTTGTTTGGTCAGCTTTTTTATCAGAGTTTTTAGGTTGGCTTTTCTCCTTTTTTTTTTTCCCTGGTCCCTTATTAGGTGATTATAATTTCAATTTTGAATTTGTTAGTTGGGGGTTGGATTGCTTATTTTTGTGGGATTGGTATATGCTGCAGACTGGTATAATATCTCCAAGTAAACTGAGAATGAAGCTTATTGGTCCTCACCACCAGAAGAAAAATGCTGGATCAAATTCGAATTCCTCTAGAACATCTCCTTCAAAGCTCGAAGATTCGGAATTTGTAAAGAACGGCTTGTTGGCTGCCCAAAGTGGGGATTTTGATCAGGAAGGTTTGTCACTCTGAATTAGCTTCCCCTTCTTATTCTTTGATCACCTTTGTATCTTCCGTGACCTTTCATAATTTATTACTGTTAACATAATCAATTTCGCATTGTGATTTGGCTGTATTTCATCATTTGAAGAATGTAGATAATGATTTTATCGCCTTCCATAAAAGAAAATTGCATTTTTCAGATAAATCATTTCTTCTTGCTCTATCATCTCTGTACTGAAAGTAGAATGACTCATGTTTATCCCAGGAACAATGTGTGTCTTTCCAGTACATGCAGACCCTGTTCCAATGTGTTTTTGTTTTTCAACGTTTGTTCTGGCATCTATCAATAGAGAATCAAGTCTATCCTCTCTAAAACTTTGCAGTGTCTACCAGTACATTGTCTGAAAATTCAACAGCGGCTGCAGATCAAGGTGATTCTGGTTCTAGCCTGCCAAATGAGGTTATGGCTAGGGAAACTAGTGCAGCCGATTACAGGAAGACACAAAGATTATCCAAGGCAGACTTTCCTAATTTCAATCCAGTGAACTCTGTCAAAACACATGAAGATGATAATCTTGATTATGATAGTACATCTAGCTTTGAGTTTCACAAAGGAGAAAGATTACATCACCACCCAGCAAGATCATTTTCAAGGCCGATGCCCTCAAAGTGGAATGATGCAGAGAAGTGGATCATGAATAGGCAAAATGTCCCACCTAACTATTCAAAGAAAATCCATTTACAGCACCAGCACCAACACCAGCATCGTTCTTTGGCTAATAACATGGTGAGGGTTGCTCCAGAATCTGCTAATTATGATAACAAATCACTAGTTAAACGGGTTGATTTCTGTCAACCTGCTTCACAATTGGGTGCTCATCCTATTTCTGCTCAAGGGAACGGAACAAATGCTTCTATTGATCTGAATCCTGATTGTAGAGATTTGATGGAGGTGGAGAATGAGATATCTTCAACAAAGAATGCAACTGAAAATACAACAGGTAATCAGAAAACTTTTCTGTTCTATGGCTTCTCTTTAATGTGACATTTATGCTTGTGATCTGCCTTTCTAGATTTGTCCAGTGGCTAATTTACTCAAAACTTATCACGCCAATGATACCAATTAAACTTAGATAACCTCTGGTTTTGCTTATATCATTTGTTTAATTGCGATATTGGGTATAATTCTTATGTTCGATTAATTGGGGTTTTCAGAAATTATTTATGTGTTTTTTTAATCACAGTGGATAACAGAATATCAGGAGTCTATTTTAAATTTTTACTAGTGCTGCACTTTTTAATTTCCCCAACAAATTGCTCTTGATTCTCATGCAAGTATATGTTAGTATTCGGAACAAAATCTTAAATCTATCTTTTAGAAGTTATGTTATATTTGTTACTCTATGAACTGCAATCAAATTTCTTATGCCATTTAGTTATTTCATCTAGGTGTCCCCGGTGTTAGGTCAGTTTCAATGAGAGACATGGGAACAGAAATGACCCCAATTCCAAGTCAAGAACCTTCAAGGACTGCCACTCCTCTTGGTTCAACCCCACTTCGCAGTCCGACATCATCTATCCCTTCTACTCCTCGATGGGGAGAGCCAGCACCTACGCCTACAGTTCTATCCATTGATGGTGAATGCCGTTCTTCAACTGGGAATGGGAAAAAGGATATGTCAGAGCAAGAACTGAAGCTTAAAACTAGGAGAGAGATTGTAGCTCTTGGGGTAAAACTTGGGAAAATGAACATTGCTGCTTGGGCTAGTAAAGATGATAAAAGTCCTTCTTTGACTGAAACAAGTAATTTGAATGAACTCGAACAAATTGAATTTGCAAAACGAGCGGCTGCTTGGGAGGAAGCTGAGAAAACAAAGCATAATGCTAGGTTGAAATTGCATTTCACATTCTCCATTATCACATCCATCGTTGATTCTTTTCCTCGTCATAAATAGTTACTGACACCCCTATAATTTTCAGATTTAAGCGTGAGGAAATAAAGATCCAAGCCTGGGAAAGCAGGCAGAAAGCAAAGCTCGAAGCAGAAATGAGGAGAATTGAGGTATTTTCATGTGTCTCTTGTTGAAATTATCAAGTGAAAAGTTCTAGTCACTGATGCCTGATGGTGCACAAGTTGAATATTATTATCAGTGATGATTCATTCCAAATGACGATTTAGTAAAAAATGATTGTGCTTCCTGTCTATGCTACGTCATTAACTCACTGATCTCATTTTAATTCATTAAGAACATAAGAGAGATATTTACACATCCTTTTCCGATATATGGATCGTTAATTTTTCTTTTAATCTTTTGCATCATATTGATGACCTAACCTGGATTGAACTTGATCTGTTGTAATTATTTTCTGACTGGCTATTAGCAAGAACCTTAGAATTAGTACCAAAAGGGTAGAAAAGCTGATATTGAGTAACACCAAGGTTTACTCTTGATTTTACGACAATGGCTGTACAAGTAAGTTTGTGTTGTAAATATTCTATTCCTGCCCGTGATGCTCTGTAGGCACAAGTTGAGCAAATGAGAGCACAAGCCCAAGCAAACATGGTGAAGAAGATTGCATTGGCAAGGCAAAAGTCTGAGGCAAAACGAGCAGCAGCTGAAGCGAGAAGGAACAGTAAAGCAGAACAGGTTGCTGCACAGGTAGAATATATCCGGCACTCAGGGCGACTTCCAACCTCCTCTTTCACATGTTGTGGCTGGCCGTGATACCAGTAGTCTGAGTTGCCTAGACGGGGCTCTCTGGAAAGTAAATTGTAGTCTCCCAAACAGTTGGTGTAATGAACAACAGAAGATTAGGTGCTGTGTGTAAGTTATAGTATCGGTGTGAAGATGATTTCATTAAAGGAAAATGGAAGGGTCCGTTGTCTTACATTTTCTCTTTTTTGGTTTTCTCGTACTTAATCAAAGCTGTTTTGAGTACTTTTTACAGAGAAAACCTGTTTATTGTGAATTATATACTTCGCCAATTAAGCTAATATAGTGTGAAAAAGAGATGTTTTTTTCTTTTTTTTTCTTCCCCACACTGACGAGGCTAAACAGTCTAAAATTACAATATCCAACAGATATTTTGTCTAGCATATTTTGCCAAAACACTATTACAAGACCATAACATTTCATCTACTGATGTGAAAATAGATGTTGAATTGAGTTGTAGTCTATAGTTCGTCCTTAAGATGTTGAATTAAATTTTGAACTATAGGACGTGCATTTGTTAAACTCAAGGTCTCCTCCTCCCCAGAAAACTAGAAAGAGAAGTGGTGCATAGTTACTCCATTCTGTCTCTGTATCAGACTGGCTGAACCAAAATAGGCCTAAAACGATGGTATGGTTATAAAACTAAGGTCTAAATATAATGATCCAATGCAAAGGTAACTAAAATTTAATTAGTGATGATAGTTATTTAACTTGTATACTAGAGACTTTATTATTATAATTTTCTACTACTTGAGATATTATGAAATATCTTATGAGATTTAACAAGAAGGGGAAAAACTCACTTTATAAATAAAAAACATAAAGAAAACAAGAGGGGGGAATGAGTAAGTTTTTCGGTGCATTTTTCACTTTGGAAAGTCACATATATATAGGAAAATTTTGGCAAACATTTGTCCTCAATTTTCCTCCTTCACATTTAATATAACTATTCTAGTGGTAAATGTTTTTGACTTTTTGTCATTCACTTATTTACAACACTCCCCCTTGAATGACAAAATAAATTACGCTAGTTATATATACTGCCTCGTTAAAAACCTTGCTAAAATAAAAACCCAGTGAGAAAAAACATTTAGCGAAGGGAAAAAGAGTGCAGTGCGTAATTGTCTCCCTCTGATGATAACATCGATAATTCTTCACATGCTGTGTAAATGACGCATTCCGATGCTATGAATATGCTTTCTGAAAAGTACTATAGGAAGTGATTTGTGAAGAGATCAGCTGAGTTTTCACTGGATACGACGTATTGAACATCAATGTCATTGTTCTTCATGAGTTCTTTGGTATATGCGAAGAACTTCGGAGGGATATGCTTTGTCCGATAATTCTTGATATATCCTTCCTCCAATTGGTAAATACAAGCTGCGTTATCTTCATATAAAATAGTTGGAATTTTCTCAACCGGAAGACCACAAGAAGTCTTGATGTATTGTGTCATTGACCTGAGCCATACAGATTCTCTACTCGCTTCGTACAATGCAATAATCTCGGCATGATTTGAAGAAGTAGATACTATTGCTTGTTTCTGGGAACGCCAAGAAATTACAGTTCCTCCATATGTAAACACATATCCAGTTTGAGATTTTCCATGATGAAGATCAGATAAATAACATGCATCTGCATAACCAATTAACTCTTGTTTCGAGTCGTTAGAGTAAAATAAACCCAAATCAATACTTCCTCGAAGATAACAAAATATATGCTTGATTCTATTCCAGTGTCTTTTAGTAGGAGATGAATTGTGTCTTGTTAACAAATTGACTGCAAAAGAAATATCAGGTCTAGTATAATTAGCAAGGTACATAAGAGCTCCAATTGCACTCAGATATGGTACTTCAGGACCAAGAATCTCTTCATCATCTTTAACAGAACGAAATGAATATTTTTCCTTATTAAGTGTCCTGACAACCATTGGAGTACTTAAAGAATTTGCTTTATCCATGTTAAAGTGTTTTAAGATCTTTTTTATGTAATTTGATTGATCCACAAATATTCCATTATGCATATGTTCAATTTGTAAACCAAGACAATACTTGGTTTTTCCAAGATCTTTCATTTCAAATTTTTCCTTTAAGTATGCAACCACATTATCAATTTCTTTATGTGTCGCAATGATGTTCAAGTCATCAACATAGACAGCTATGATGACAAATCCAGATGTTGTTTTCTTAATAAAAACGCATGGACAAATAGCATTATTGGTATATCCCTTATTTGTCAAATAATCACTTAAACGATTATACCAGATGCGGCCAGATTGTTTTAACCCATATAATGATCTTTGCAGTTTAATTGAATACATTTCTTTGGGTTTTGAACTTGAAGCTTTAGGCATCTTAAATCCTTCAGGGATTTTCATATAAATATCACTGTCAAGTGATCCATACAAATAAACAGTCACAACATCCATGAGACGCATTTCTAATTTTTTAGAAACTGCTAAGCTGATTAAGAATCTAAACGTAATTGCATCCTTAGCAGGTGAATAAGTTTCATCATAGTCAATTCCAGGTCTTTGTGAAAAACCTTGAGCTATGAGTCTAGCCTTGTATCTGGTGATTTCATTCTTCTTATTTCGTTTTCGTACAAAAACCCATTTATATCCAACAGACTTTGTATCTTTGGGTGTGAGAATAATGGATCTAAAAATATTTCGCTTATTAAGTGAATCTAATTCAGCTTGCATAGCGTCTTTCCACTTTAGCCAATCATGTCTATTTTGACATTCTTGAACTGATTTTGGTTCAGGATCATCACTTCCGTTCATAATTTCACATGCAACAACATAAGAGAAAATCTCATCATTATATTCAATTCATCTCTATTCCACAGCATTTTTGTACTGTTATAATTGATTGAGATTTCTTCATTCACCTTTTCATTGTTTTCATCAGGAGAATCTTCTTTGCCTTTTGGTTCTTCAGGAACATTTTCATTGATATTATTTTCTGATCTCTTTCTTATTCGGGGATTTTTATCCTTTGAACCAATCGGTCTCCCACATTTTAAACGTGGTTTAGACTCTTGAGAGACCTTATTCTCAGATTTTATTTCTGGGATTTCAATACGAGCAGGAGCATTAACTGCTGGTATATGTGATTTAGTCACTCTTTTTGTATCAGTAAAAGCATCTGGCAATTGATTTACAATTTCTTGTAAGTGCACAATCTTTTGCACTTCTGTTTTACATTGCTTTGTTCAAGGATCAAGATACAATAGTGATGGTTCATTCCATGCGATATCATTTACTACTTCTTTTCTTTCTTCCTCTAATTTTGGGAAAATAACCTCATTAAATTGACAATCAGCAAAACGTGCTGTAAAAACATCATCTGTCAAAGGTTCAACATATTTAATTATGCTGGGTGATTCGAACCCAAAGTATATTCCCAATCTTCTTTGGGGACCCATTTTTGTGTGTTGCGGTGGCGCAATGGGTACATATACTGCACAACCAAAAACTCTAAGGTGTGAAATATTTGGTTCAAATCCAAGTGCCAATTGCAGTGGGGAGTATTTATGATCAGCACTAGGCCGTATTCTTATTAGTGAAGCAGCATGTAATATTGCATGGCTCCAAATAGAAACAGGTAGCTTTGTTCTCATAATTAATGGTCTAGCAATAAGTTGCAGTCTTTTAATTAATGAATCTGCTAAACCATATTGTGTATGTACATGAGCAACAGGATGCTCAACAATGATTCCAATAGACATATAATAATCATTAAATGATTGAGACGTAAATTCACCAGCATTATCAAGTCTCACCCTTTTTATTGTATAGTCAGGAAATTGAGCTCGTAGTTTTATGATTTGAGCTAAAAATCTGGCAAATGCAACATTCCGGGTTGACAATAAACATACATGAGACCATCTGCTGGATGTGTCTATTAGAACCATAAAATATCTGAATGGTCCACTTGGTGGATGTATTGGTCCACATATATCATCTTGAATTCTCTCAAGAAACATAGGTGATTCATTTTGGATTTTTAGCGGTGAAGGCCTCAATATCAATTTTCCAAGAGAACAAGCTGTACATGACAATTCATTACTTTGAGGTATCCCTTGTTCTTTCAATGGATGTCCATGTGTATTTTCAACTATCCTTCGCATCATTATTGAACCTGGATGACCTAGCCTTTCATGCCATAAATTTATCATCGAATGGTCGAAGGATTTTGATTTCACTGTCATGTTTGATTCAATGTATGTATAATGCAAACCATTAGAGAGCGGTAACCTTTCAAGTGTTTGAATCTTTTCAGACTCATATTTAATGATTTTCAAATATTTTACACCATCTATTGTCATAGATTGTGTATCATACCCATTTCGGTATATATCATCAAAACTCAACAAATTTTTTCTGGGTTTTGGTGAGAACAAAGCTTCATCAATCACAAATTTGTTCCCTGAGGCAATGTAATTCTGGCTTTGCCAATTCCTTCAATCAAGTCTGTAGGACCTGATATTGTATACACGCCTTTGTTGGTTTAAATTTAGTGAAAAACTTTCTATTTTTCAAGATAGTATGTGTAGTGCCACTGTCAGGTATACAAAAATCACCAAAGCCGCTTTTAAGTTGAGTTCTACTATGACCCATTTCAAGACTTCAAAAACAGAAAAATAAATAATCAACACGTATCATAAGGAAAAACATCAAACATGAATATTTTACATAAATTCATTACAATCCAATACGATAATACAACTTCAAACATATATTAAAAATACATTTATTTTCATCAACAAAAATACAACAAATCAATAACATATATCCACTTATGTCTCAATTATCAGCATAATCATCAGTGAAATCAGAACCATTCAGATGTGTTTCCCCATTCTCATTATCACAAAGCTCATTGAGATTAACTTCCTTTCCTTTACCCTTTGATGCGGCATAAAGATCACAAAGGTGTTTTGGAGTTCTACAGACCTTTGCATAATGACCTTCAGCACCACACCTGTAACATGTATCTTCAGCATTCTTTTGAGATTTTTCTGGAGCATCATTCTTGGTCATTTTATTTTTCTTTTGAGGATGAGCTATTTGTTCATATGGGGTATTACCATGATTATGGCCAGAAAATTGTTTCCCTCCATGGCCTAATAGCCACCACGGCTGCCATAGCCTCCACGACCGCCACGGCCCCCACGGCCGTCCCGGTTGTGATCACCACGACCCCGACCCCGACCACGACCTCGACCTCGGCCACGTCCACGACTTTTAAAATTTCCAGAGTATCCTGGAATTAAGGCATTTGCTTCAGGATATGCCATAGAGCCAGTAGGTCGTGATTGATGATTCTTTATCAAAAGTCTGTTGGCATTTTCTTCTTGCAAAAGTGTTGTTGACAAATCAAAATAATGCTCATACTTCATCAATCCATGAGCATTTGAAAGAATAATACTAGATGGATGAAATATTGATAGAGTTTTATCTATCATTTCCTTTTCTGTCATAGGATGTCCACAAAATTTTAATTGTGAAACAATCCTGAACAATGTTGAATTATATTCATCCACACTTTTAAAATCTTGAAATCGTAATGATTTCCATTCATCAATAACATTTGGTAATATAATAGCTCTTTTATTATCAAATCTGGAAGCAATACTTTTCCAGACAACACTTGGATCTTCTTGATCAATGTATTCATTTTGCAAACAATCATCAAATGTTTGCGAAGTAATATCAACACGGTTGCCTTATCCTTTTCTGTGGTAGTATTTTCCAGTTTTATAATATCAGTGAGACCCATTGATCGTAGATGTGTGATAACATTTGTTTTCCAACACATATAATTTTGTCCAGTGTGTTTGAGAGCTTCAAACTCGAGCTTTGATAAATTTGACATCTTTGATAACTAGGATAAAGGAAAAAAATCGCAGTTACATTTAATAATGAATAAATCTTACAATAAATAATGCTAACAATTTATTCAGTAAATATAGCAATGAAGTACAATGGTAAAATACACATTATAAGAACTCCTAAATGAAAAATGAAATCATCAAATTCTTCTAGAAAAAAATATCATAACAATATATATACTAACTATTATCATGCTAAAGAGAGAAAGGAAAGACATTTTTTCTTAGAGAAATAAGAAGAGAAAGAAGGAGAATATTGTGAAGGTGTGTAAATGAGGTTTAAAAATGATATATTTATAAAAAAAAATTTAAGATTTCAGCCGTTATATTGCCGTTAATATATCCATTAAAAAAGTTGTTATATACGTATTTTTATACATAAAAGTATATTATATTTATACATATATAATTTATATATGAAAATTTAAATAAATCAAGATAAAACAACTAAGTAATATTTGAATGAGGATATATATTTTTATCGTACACTCAATTAAATTGAAAATAAATTACTTTTTAGAGACAAATAATTGTAGTAGGGATTTATCAATCATCTCATCATAGATTAGATATATTATATAGGGACATAGAAAAACATCCATCATAGATTAGATATAGTATATAGGGACATAAAAAAACATTCCACCGTGAAAATCTAAATAAAGATATGAAAATAAATGCATTAGGGATATATGAAGTCATCCCACAAGAATGTAAATTATATAAATATTTAAATAAATTATATAAATATTTACGTAGGGATATATTAAAGCATCCCACTACAAAAATAAAACTCAAGACTTGAGCAAGGACAAGTCTTTAAATAGATTGTAAGAAATGAAATAACTTGAATATAAATTAGGAGGTGTTATACAACCATCCATATGAAATGTAAATACTTGGTAAGAAATTTTATACCTTTGTGGATTGCAAAGACGTCGTGCTGGTAACGTGTTATAAAACTAAGGTCTAAATATAATAATCCAACACAAAGGTAACTAAAATTTAATTTGTGATGATAGTTATTTAACTTCTATACTAGAAACTTTATTATTATAATTTTCTACTACTTAAATATTATGAAATATCTTATGACATTTAAGAAGAAGGGGAGAAATCCACTTTATAAATCAAAAACATAAAGAAAACAAGAGGGAGGAATGAGTAAGTTCTTCGGTGCATTTTTCACTTTGGAAAGTCACATATATATAGGAAAATTTTGGCAGACATTTGGCCTTAATTTTCCTCCTTCACATTTAATGCAATTATTCTAGTGGGTAAATATTTTTGACTTTTTGTCATTCACTTATTACAACAGGTATCAAATTTTAGAAGCTCAGGACCCAATTAATTTTAAAACACTCCCTCTCATTCTTTCTCTCCTCTCTTTCTTACACGTTCGAACTTAACCAAATTTCTCTGAAACTTGCCAAACTCTTTCAGGGGAACACGTTTTTGTTTGGGAAAATTTAGATAAAAGAAAGTGGAGATTAAATAATTAATAAAAAGGGCTATAATTTTGAATAATTTATATTTAGGGCTTAACCATTCAACTATACAAACATGTCCTTGGGCCTTTAACTATTAATAAAAAACCTATTTATTACATCAATTTAAATACTTCGGAAGTTCATTTAATTTTATTTTTTTTTTCCTCTGGGCCTGATTAATATAAGAAAAATACTAAAGCGGTCGATGACAAACAAAATACTAAAGGTACAAAATTTGTAATATTCTTAAATTTAAAGTTTTCACTTATACGAAATATGGAGTAATTTAATTAATTCTAGTAAAATATGTTGTATGGCTCGTATAAGTACAAGTTTTTTTGGGAAAGAAAAATTCGACTAATGTTAAAGCGGAAAAAAAATTACTTGAAAAAAAGTAACAATATATGAAGAAAAAAATATCCTATCAAAAATTAAGAATTATTAACCTTTATTAAAATAAATGTCAACTTAATTATATTTTTTATCATCATTTAACAAATTACTTTTTCCATATTGATACTAAAATATGATCATCATGAAAGATTTAATTTATGCATTGAAATATCAAATAAAAATCAAGAGGATTTTATTTCAAGAATAAGAGTCATGTTTGGGTTGTTGAATCGTTGTGCCTTTCAAACAAACTAGTATGTGTCCCGCGCTTTGCGCAGGTTTGTCAATGTTGAAAATTTATCTTTCAAAAAATTAATTAGATAATGTAGTTACTAATATTTCTTAAAACCGTAGTATTTTTTTGATTAATCAATTTTAGATCAAAATGAGAGGTATTGATATTATTTATAGGATGTATATTTGTAAGATTTGGCCAAAAATATTACAACAAAAATTTTGAAAAGTTGTATAATAAAAATTGTCACCACTAACTAATATTATGTTTGGATAAAAAAAATATATTGAAAAAATGCGCAAATTATGTCTAGATGTCTATGGCTTATTTATAGGTAAGGGGACTTTGGGGATTAGACACAATTAATCGTCCTTGAAAATGTAAAATCGATAAACTTGAAGACTAAATAGCACATAAATAGAACTTTAAGGGCTAAAATGACAATAAGTTGAAAGTGAGGCTTGATGGTTTCAATTAGCGACACGTGTCGATTATCTTTCTTTCCTTTAATATATACTAGTATGTGCTCCGCGCTTTGCCCGAGTTTGTCAATGTTGAAAATTCATCTTCCAAAATAATTAATTAGATAATGTAGTTATTAATATTTCTTAAAACCGTAATTTTTTTTGATTAATCAATTTTAGATCAAAATGAGAGTTATTGATATTATTTATGAGATGTATATTTGTAAGATCAGGCTAAAAATATTACAATAAAAATTTTGAAAAGTTGTATTATAAAAATTGTCACCACTAACTAATATTATGTTTGGATTAAAAAATATATTAAAAAATACGTAAATTATGTCTAGATGCCTATGGCTTATTTATAGGTAAGGGGACTTTGGGGATTAGACACAATTAATCGTCATTGAAAATGTAAAATCGATAAAATTGAAAACAAAATAACACATAAATAGAATTTTTGATAATAGAATTTTAGACAAAATAACACATAAATAGAATTTTAAAGGCTAAAATGATAATAAGTAATGTTTGATGGTCTCAATTAGCGACACGTGTCGATTATCTTTCTTTCCTTTAATATATATAAAATGATAATGATAATGATTATTCAACATTACTGCCCTCTTTATTTATTATTTACTCTCGGCTGCCCCTAATCCAAATTTTCCCATTTTGTTTCGATTTTTACGGTTTAGGTTGCTAGTTGTATTTTTAAAAGTGCAGAATATTCATCAGATTCGAGCCCCCGGTTAAACAGAGAAAAACCCTCAACCCAAAAAGAGAAGAACAAATTTAGCACAGGCCGGAACACCGTATCCAAGTCGCCGGAATCGAACCAAACCCGGGCAACAGCGGCGATGGAAGTCTGAAAAATTCAGGTTAGATTTTTGTCTTTTTTCATCACTGCACCATTATGAACTCGAGTTTGGCTGTGATTAAGGGCAATCTAATAATCAGAATGTATTTGCACACGCATTAGATAATGATGAGAAAAGTTAAGATGATGACGAAAAACCTATTTTCTCGACTGAAGATTATGGGCTACTGATTTGTTCAAGGTTCTTATTGCTCTTGTAGCCATTTTCTTTTTTCTCTGACTTTTCCCCTTGGCCTGCTCTTCTGCCTTTGGAAGCTCATTATTTGGGGTTCACACAAAATCCCCCTATCACTTTGTCTCTTATGCATATAAGTGACTTTATGAAGTGTGGGATTTTGCAGATGAGAAGTACTACTAACAATCAAGAGTTATCAAATGTAAAGAAGTCAAATATTCTGTCAGAGACTGAATCAATGATAACTTTTGTGACTGTCCGGATGGAACTCATTAGCCAGGTACATTTTGTTGGTCCGAAGCTATACTGATCTTTTATGTTTCCTTTGAACCAAATATTTGAACTTCATTGATTATGGTGGTGTGGTATCTGGTTTTTTTTTTTTTCCTTTTCTTAATTATTGGCAGAATTGATTACTTGCAATATAATAAACTTGTTTCCCCCTTCTTTCTTGCTGTACTAGTATCTCTTTTTTACATTTGATACTTGATTTACAATACTAGGGTATTTTGTATATGAAAATTTGCTACTTCATCCTTCTAAAGCATGCATTGAGAGAATGAAACCTTTGAATTGCGGAACTACTCGAAGTTATAAACTATATTTTTTTAAAAATTTCCTTAGCATCTTGGGTTTGGGTTTTACTCAGCTTCACGCATTTGTACAGGGCCTGTAATCTACTGCAGGAGCTTATGCTTGTTTGAATATTGGATGATTAAATTGAGATACGGTAATGGCAACTGCAAGGTTCTGCTTGTCTATGCACTCGATTCATCGTTCCTTCTTACGATTTTCATCAGTTCCCGGGGTTTTTTCTCCAGATTCCTTGGAGGAATCTATTAAAGCTGCTGTTGAAGCAAGAAATTATGCAGAAATTCCTGATCTTCTCACTGGTTCTCAAATGTCGTGCCCCAAATCCAATCCCTTCTCTTTTCTTACAAGATTCCCTATAAAACAAAGGACAACAATAGTTGATGACATTTTAGAATCTTTGGTTTCACAGAGACCCCGTTCTAGACCTCACATTGCATATTCCTGTCTTCTCATGTACACTCTTCAAAGTCTTGATCCCCTTCCACTTGCCTTTGCTGTCCTACAACGTATGCTTCGATCTGGTTGTCTTCCTGTTCCTGAAACTCACCTCCTACTTTCTACAGCGTGGCTTCAGTGCCGATCACAATCTCAGTCTGTTTCAAATATACTGTTGGAGATGCAGAATATCGGATATAATCCTGACAGCGGCATTTGCAACTATCTCATATTGTCGTTGTGCAGAGCTGATCAGTTAAAAGAAGCATTTAAAGTCTTGAAGGGTATGGGTCGGGCTGGTTGTGTTCCCGATTTGGATACCTATGGAACTCTTATTGCTGCAATGGCTGATCTCAAAATGACATCTAATGTTGTGGAACTGATGAAGGAAATGGTGGGAACCTTTGGCTTGTGCCCAAGGCAACAGCTGTTGGTGAAAGTCACTAGACTATTCAGGGCAAATAAAGAGTTCCAAAGAGCAATTGAGATGATTGAATATTTGGAGAGTAAGGATGTTCATGTCGGATTTGATGTCTATGAGTTGGTGCTGGAGGGGTGCTTGGACGGTCGTGAATTCGTCCTAGCAGGAAAACTTGTCATGAGTATGACTGGAAAAGGTTATATACCTTACATCACAGTGAGACAAAGAGTAGTTGAAGGCCTTTACAGCATTAATGAGATGGAACTCGCTTCAGCTGTGAGGAGTAGATTGACAAATTTGAATTCGTAGGTATATGAACTGGAATGACGGCTGTAAGTCCTTCTGCATACACAAATGAGCTTGACCTTCTGCAATGTATTAAATTGGATGGCTGCTATGTACAAATGTTGTTGGAGAAGATTACCAGGAAGACTGAATGCTGATACCCCTGTCTGTTGATGGTCAATTGCCTGTAGATGGTGGTAGCACTGTTGCTGTTTAGAATATACAAACTCAGGAGAATGGTCATTGGATTGATCAATCAGTTGAGGGTGATAATTTGCAGGAAGGAGCTTTTGTTTCTGAACAAGCTGGTGAAGACCATGAATTAGGCGAGCCCGCGGATGACATCTCTTTAGAAAATAATCCAGAAGCTGTGGATATTATGGAAATTGCAGAAGGAAACGGTGGTTGCAGTCAGCAGTTAGAGACTCTGCATAATCCTGCTGTTTCTTCGACGGGTCCTTTGGATGATCCATTTGGCTTTAGCAGTTCAGCTGCAGTATCCAGCAAGTGATAGCCAGTCCAGCCATCATGCACTATAAATCACTGGGATGCCTGATTCTGCTGTAAATCATACTTCTTCAGAAACTGTTGATGTTGATATGGGTGGGGCCTCCCAGATTTTGTCACAATTCTTTCCCCCAAAGAAGAGGAAGAGTTCATCAGGCCTGCAGCCGTGCCACTCCCAGAGGTTCCAGTTCAGGCGTAGATAAAAAGATTGATGCAGGAAAAAATAAGAATTAGGGTTTAAGAATTATTAGGAAGTTTTAATTTAGGGAGGTTTTAGTATTTTATAGAATTTTTAAGTCTTTTTAGATATTTTCCTTTTTTAAGTATAGGGTTTAACTATAAATAGGGTTGTTGTACATTTAGAGAAAAGTAGTTTTATTGATATTTGATAATTGATTTCAGAACTGCGAGTTCTCTTTCACGGCTGAGTGCCTTGTGTTATGGTTTTTATTGGTTTTTGTCTAAAAATCATTGCCTTTGTTTATGGTGATCATGTGTTATGGTTTTTATTGGTTTTTGTCTAAAAATCATTGCCTTTGTTTATGGTGATCATGAATCAAAGTGATGTTCCTTCTTTTCATGCTTCCGCCCACATCTATTGGCACCAGAGCCATAGGTTTAAGCCAAGCCATCAGAGCCGTCAACAATTGATTGAATGGTTACAAGAACTGCCCACATCTATTGGCATCAGAGCCATAGGTTTAAGCCAAGCCATCAGAGCCGTCAACAATTGATTGAATGGTTACAAGAACTAGAGGATGTGACCGAACAAATTGAGTGGGTGCGTCAAAGGATTGATGATGTCCAGGATGGATTGAATTATCAAACGATTGATGATGTCCATGATGGATTGAATTATCAAAGGATTGATGATCTTCAAAAAGGATTGAAACGTCAAACTGTGTAGTGTTGTTTCTTCAGATTTACCGGAAGATAATATGGAGGGTTTGTTTTTCTCATATGAATCAGAATTCGATTCAAGTGAGGACCAGATCGTTGAATGATGTTTACCCCGATGAGTTTCTGGGTGTACTGGTTGATGATGGTGTCCATGGTGTTGTTCAGTTTTCTCCTCCAACTGAACCAACAGCAGTAGACAAGGAGGATTTGGAAGAGTTGGATGGATTTAATATACTTAAGGAGGAGAAGAATTATGTTAATGTGGCAGAATTTCCAATGATTCAACAAAGTTTGTGCTTTAGTCAAGAGAGCTGTTAAAGCACAAGCAGCAATGGTGCCTGGTGTTTGTTTTGAATCATTTGATCCAATTTGCAATTTCAAAGTTGAATTTTCAAGAACATCACAAGAAGCTTATGAGTTTAAGAACTTTCTGAATCAACAAATTGTTTATGCATGGAGAAGACGAAGGAAGAAGCCTTCTCAAAGAAGGCAATTGGAGTTAACTGGAGATCCTTTTGATCGTGGAAAAGGCAGGCAAAACTCGAGGACGAGTTTTCTTTGAAGCAGGGGAGAATTGATGCAGGAAAAAATAAGAATTTGGGTTTAAGAATTATTAGAAAATTTAAATTTAGGGAGGTTTTAGTATTTAGGGAGGTTTTACAGAGAAGTAGTTTTTTTGATATTTGATAATGGATTTCAGAACTGCGAGTTCTCTTTCACGACCGATTGCCTGTGTTATGGTTTTTATTGGGTTTTGTCTAAAAACCATTGTCTTTGTTCATGGTGATCATGAATCAAAGTGTGTTCCTTCTTTTCATGCTTCCGCTCGCATCAAAGATAGTTCTCTTCCTTGGTAGGTTCGACATCAGTTTAGGAAAGGGGCTGGAAAGAGGTGATGCTCATCAATTGCTATCTTCATCTGAAGTCAACCAAGAGCCTGCGTGTAGGCAGATTGAAGTTATTCCAGAGGCTGGTCAGACTGATGAAGCAAATGCTAAGAATGAGCATTCTAATGGAAATGGTGTTGATCCAACTTTCCTGGAAGCACTTCCAGAAGATCTTCGCGCAGAAGTTCTTGCATCACACTATCACAGTAGGCTCAGTCTGCTCAACCTCCAACCTATAACCCCCCTACGGCTGAAGAAATAAACCCCGAAGTTTTAGCCGCTCTTCCTCCAGATATTCAAGCAGAAGTTTTAGCACAGCAACAAGTGCAAAGAATTGCACAGCAGGCTGCAGGGCAGCCAGTTGAAATGGATAATGCCTCCATCCCTGCCACTTTCCCTGCTGATTTGCGTGAAGAGGTGAGGATCTTTAGCATTGTCTTGTTTTTTTTTTTATTTTTTTATTTGTTTTCAGCAGTAACGTAAACTTTGTGTCTGCCAGGTTCTTTTAACATCTTCTGAAGCAGTTTTATCTGCTTTACCCTCTCCGCTGCTTGCTGAAACCCAAATGCTGAGGGACAGAACTATGAATGATCAAGCTCGTAGCCTCTTTGGAAGCAGCCACAGGTTCCACCCGTAGGAGAAATGGACTGGGGTTTGACAGACATGCCGTGATAGACCATTGGGTGGGTGTCACTAATGGTAGAAGGTTGTCTTCTGCAGTTGCCGAGACTTTAAGTTGAAGGAAATTGAAGGCGAGCCACTCTTAGATGCTGACACATTGAAAACATTGGCTCGTCTTTTACGAACAGCATCTTTTTCACTGCGTTTTACCTTTTCCTTGGGAAAGTTGTCTTAAAAATTATAAAATATTTGCTTTCATGCTTTGAAAATGTTTTGAGGCGCTATCTACCTTTCTTTCTGTATTTGGTTTAAGAGTATTTTGCAGTTTACTTGACATTTCTTAGCCGCAACTAAGGGGTTACTTGTCATGCTTTCAGCCTCTTGGAAAAGGTCTATTATTGCAGCGACTCTTGTTGAATTTATGTGCCCATGGTATACCAGGGCCAATCTTGTCCGTCGTCTGCTTGACACTATCAAGGCTGAAGATGAACTCTCGGTGGCAAATTGTGCCAGTCCAATTCACTCAGGCTTAATGCTTTTCAGTCTAATGTTGATTATGGCCGATAGCAGTTATTTGATGGTATTGCTTCTTTCCCGTGAATGTAAGCTTTTTTGGTCTCTTAAAATTTTAATTTCAGTGGTTGAATTCGTTTCAGGACTTTCCCTGCTGGTACTGTACCAGATTCTTGAGATTTTGACTTATTTGGCCAACAATCATTCAGCTGTGGCCAGCCTTTTACTCTACTTTGACCCTTTCTCTTGTTCAAGAATCGACGAGCTTGAAAACTTCAGAAACCAGAGCTGATAAAGACAAGGATAAATTGTATCAAGGAGACAGGGATTCAAAAAGTTTGGGGTATTCGGACAAGAGGGATATTCCTTTGTTATTGTTTCTTAGACTCTTGAGTTAACCTTTGTTCTTAGACTCTTGACTCTTCAGTGCCAGCGGACTCTATTCAGCAAGAGAATGGAATTACTTCTTCTGAGAATACCACTTCGCAGTGTGAGAAAAGGGTTAACATCTCCAACATATTTTTAGATTTGCCTCAGTCTGAGCTGAACAATCCGTGCTGTATTCTTGGTCGTGAGGGGTAAAATATTCTCCTTGATGGCTTGTCTTTTATGTATTTAATTGTTTTTCAATAGTCTTTATTGTATAATAATTTCTTGACCAACTTTTTTAATTTCACTTGATCACTTGGTTAACTTTTCTTTATTGACTGCCAAAGAACTGGTTTTGAAAGAAGATGCTAAAAATTTATGAAAGATCTACATGCTTGCTGGTGAAGTACCGAAGAAGTTGGCCTCTGTCGCTGCTCCACATCACAAATTTTTCATTACTGGGCTTTTTGGTTTAGCTCAAGAATTGAGCAGCTCTGCTGTAAACGAACTTATTACACTTAAGACAGACAAACATGTTGGGCTTGAGTGCTGGTTCAATGGCTGGGGCAGGTGTCCTTCAAGTATTGCAGACATTAAGTTCATTCACTTCCGCTGCCAAAGAAAATAGTGGAGATACTGCAAATGATGCAGATCAGGAGGAGCACCCTACTATGTGGAAGTTGAATGTTGCATTGGATCCATTATGACAAGAACTTAGTGAATGTATTAGCAGGATGCAGTCAGAGCTGACACAAAACTCTTTCTCATCATTTGGTACAAAATTAACATGGGGGAGCATGTGCAGGGTTCATCTGTCTCTCCGCCTCTTCCACCTGGGACTCAGAGACTGTTGCCTTTTATTGAGGGTTTCTTTGTCTTGTGTGAGAAACCGCAAGCACATAATGCTTTTGTTCAGCAAGAATGTGGAAATGCAACTGCAGGAGAGGTGCTGTGGTTCTTACCAGAAAACTGATGGCACTTCAACATTTACAAAGTTTTCTGAGAAGCATCGGCGCCTTTTGAATGCTTTTATTAGGCAGAATCATGGCTTATTGGAAAAGTCTATTTCTATGTTGTTGAAGGAACTGCAGCTGATAAATTTTGATAACAAAAGAGCTTATTTCCGATCCAGAATCCGACAACAGCATGAGCAGCACCTGTCTGGCCCATTACGCATTAGTGTCCGGTGGCCGAAGAGTACTCCCTAGACAAACACCATAAAAACTCTCTTCTGGTACATGATACAATAACTGAAACCTTCCAAGTAATGCCAACAAATCCAAATCAGACTAACAAGGCCAACAAAATGAAGAATAAAATCATATAAGATGCAAAATGGATAATAGACAGCTCAATATCATATTTTACCCAATAGGAAAAACTCTCTTCTGGTACATGCTAAATAACTGAAAGCTTCCAAGTAAGGCCAACTAAAGAAATGGTAATCTGATATCCCATTGAGTTTACTGTATGGTATAAATACAAAGATGCCTAGATGAGTACTACACCAATCTAGTCTACATACATGATTGATATAGTTTAGGAAACATATATCATAATCTCTACAATTACGGGATACAATCCATTATCATTAATTTTAAAGATCATCTTCTATCATGCCCCCGCAAACACAAGGGTCCAGGAAGGACACTAAGCTTGGATCGATGACAAACAAACGATTGACGAACCAAAGGTTTAGTAAGAGAGTCGGCAAGCTGGTCTGAAGTTGATACATGGGAGACACGAAGCCGTTTACTTTGCACTTGCAATATGCTTCATACGAGAATGAAACACAGGATTAGAGCTGAGATATGTAGCACCAATGTTGTCGTAATAAATGACAGGAGAAGAGGACAAGGGGTGCTGAAGCTCTTTCAAGAGGTTGGTAACCCGATTGATTTCAGCTGTGGTAGTTGCAAGAGCACGATACTCAACTTCTGTGGAAGATCTAGCAACTGTAGATTGTTTCCGTGAACTCCAACTGACCGGATTAGAACCAAGATAAATAACATAGGCAGAAGTAGACCGACGACTATCTAGGTCACTTCCCCAATCAGCATCCGAGAATCCATGAAGAGTAAGAGGCGAAGCGGAAGACAGAAATAAACCATAATGAGAGGTGCCTTTGAGGTAACGAAGAATAAGTTTCACAGCTATCCAGTGGTTGGTGGTCGGATTGTGCATAAACTGAGAGAGTTTATTTATAGCATAACTGAGATCAGGTCTTGTGAGAGATAAATATTGAAGGGAGCCCAGGACTTGGTGATATTCCGTGGGATCATGCTTTGGGAAACCATCAATCAATTTGAGAGTAATAGATGGAGACATTGGTATACTAACTTCTTTAGAGTTCAACATCTTAGTTTTCTCAAGAAGATCCAAAATGTATTTTTGCTGAGAAAGAAAGAGACCTTTCGGAGTGCGAGAAGTTTCCACCCCCAGAAAATAGCTAAGATTGCCCAAGTCCTTCAGTGAGAATCTATCCGACAACTAAGCTGTGAACTTACGAATAAGGGTAGCATCACTTCCTGTTAAGATAATATCATCCACATAGACAAAGAGATACAAAATATGAGATCCATGGAGATAAATAAATAAAGAGGCATCACTTTGTGATTGTGTAAATCCATAGGCAACAAGAAATGAGCGAAGCTCGTTGTACCAGGCCCGTGGAGCTTGACGAAGTCCATAAATAGCCTTATGAAGCTTGCAAACATAATGAGGGTATTGAGAATCAATAAAACCCGGAGGTTGCTACATGTAAATAGGGTCAGAAAGAGTGCCTTGTAGAAAGGCATTATTGACATCAAGTTGGCGTAAAGGCCAACCACGGCTCACAACAATTGAAAGAATTAGGCGAATGGTTGTTGGTTTAACCACAGGGCTGAAAGTCTCTGTAAAATCAATTCCCGGGCATTGTTGAAAACTTTTAGCAACTAGGCGTGCTTTATATCTTGCAATAGACCCATAAGGATTTCTCTTAATTCTATATATCCATTTGCACCCAATAATATTTTGTGTGGGAGAGTAGGGGACAAGTGACCAAGTGTTATTTTTATGAAGAGCTAGAAAATTCATTGGTGCGTGCCGAGTTCACCAAAAATATTACTAGCTTGGATTGTGATTTTTGTAGATAATGGAAGCTAGGTCGATCCCACAAGAACAGCTAATTACCAAATTTGTTGTTAAAAGACTACCAGTTAGACACACTCAGGGGAATGAAAACAGTCACTCTGGGGAATGAAGGCCAGGGGTGTTCATCTCCTCTTCCTAATGCAGTAGTTGTGTAATTAGCACTGTAATGGTCAAGTTCTTGTTCATTTAGCTCTCTTATAACTCTAAGTCAGTTCCCATTTTTCCTAGAGTCATCTTTGTAACCTTAACAATCTATTTTCCTATGATTGATTCCAGTTATAAAGTCATTAAGATCTCAGGCTTTATGAATGCTCATGTTAACTAAGTATATTCCTATCTTAGTTAAAACCATAGACTGTTACCTCTATGTCATAAGTTAAAGTTGAAACAATCCAAACCAAGTTTATCTTTCCAGATCTCCCTTAGTTCTAGCATGCATTCAATTTAGTGATCAAGTAAATGAATGTAGAAACACTTTCAACTTCAAAACAAGGAACAGAACCAGTGCATTACAACAACTACAACATAGGTTGAGGAGATTAACCCCTGGAAACTACTTAGCTACTCATGTAGATTAATGCTACATCTACTACATCAAAAGACATCATAGAAGTATGCATAATAAATGAAGTTCAAGATAACAGTCAAGAGACGAGAAAAAAGCTTGTGCAGTTTTGAGCCACTCCTGAGAGTGAAGGAGTTTTCACTCAGGGAAATGAAGCAGAAACTGGGATGGTTGTTCTCCAACTTGGCTTCCTTACTGAGTTGTTGCTGTTCCTTCTTCCTTCTTGCCTTCTTCTGGAGTTTTCTTCTGTGTATTTTGGCAACTGAAAGGGTAGCCAGAGAGATGATTTCTTCTGAGAGTGATGCTTCCCCTTTTATAGAGCCTTGCAGCCGGTTCTTTAATCAAGAGAGCCTCCCATGCTTGTGAATTGTTTAATCCTTCCTAGGCCTTGTGTCTGGAATCTAGAATTGACTGGTCTTCTTCTCTTCTTCCAGCGGTGACAGCAGCAACCTCATTGATCAGCATGGGTGGCTGGAATTTCGGCTGAGAGACAAGCATGCCCCTTGGAATTCAAATGAGAGACACTCATTAATGGCAAGATGCTTTGTGTCTTGGGGGATACTTTTTCAACCAGCTCAGCAAAAAATTGTATCAACAGCCCGCCATTTGTTCCTTTGGCCTCAATTTTCAGTAATTGTTCAATCAAGTCCTAACCTAATAAAAACACAAAGACTAGTTAAGAGAAATGTACTAATACTCGGAAATACCCCTAATTTCTACTAATTTCAGAGTTAATTGTGATGCTTTTATGTAACAAATAAGCCATGATCAACTCCCCCAAACTGGAAAAATTGCTTGTCCTCAAGCAAAACAACTAAACTCTTGCTGCACTTACAAAATTATACATAAGAAACAGGGAAAACAAATTGTCAAAATGACAGAAGACTGACTTACTCCCCTGAGTGAGGATTCTCACTCAGGCATGTGACACTGAACATAGAAACAACAATAAACACAAACTTGGTAGGAGCTGTCAACCTTTTGTCTCAGATTCAAGTAAAGAAAACATACACTTAAAGACATCAAATGTTTCTGCAATCCAGAGTCAAACAGCCAACCTTCACATAAAATTAGAATACATGCCACAAGTGTCGGTTATGCCCATCCTATCAATCCATTCTAAGTTAACCGGTTTCAACGTATGGTGGTCATATTGTGATCTGGTTTTGCCCAAGTTACTTTGACTTGATTTACCTACTGAGGCTTCAATCATGGACTTCCTTCACAGCCTTTCTGTTTGTCTGTGTGTGTGTGTGTGTGTTTTTTTTTTTTTAAATGTAGATGGACCAACCTTACACCTTTGGGAGGGGTGTTATTCAACCTTATCTCTCCACTACCTTATACATCAACCCTTATTAATCCAACAGTTTGGAACTTTCTGTGGTGGTTCCTTGATGTTACCCCTCAGGTTTCAGTTGATCCACTCCTAATTTCTCTCTTTTTTTTTTCAAAACAAACAACCTGTAAATGGATACCACAAGGGAAGTCTCAGGTTTATAGCATCTCTCATCTACTTGTAGCTCGGAACTAGACACAGATCACAACAGTGGATTAGTCATGCCAAATTTTAAAATTTATGTTCCAGGCAGTCACTTCCACGAGTGGCATTGTTCATGTGTGTGAGTGAGTGTCAGCCATTCTTTCACTTCATGCATCAAACTCAGCATCAAAAGTGTTTTAGCAAAAATTTTTTTTCAAAACCATTATCATCCTAGACTGTTGACAGCTCCTTAGTTTTTCATTTTATTTCATTTTTAAGAGAGATTTTACAGACTCGATCTAGACATGAACCTATGGGACCTGAATTTAAAAACATGACAACAGTACCAATACTACTCTACTACCCCCTCCCCCGAAGTTATTCTAAGCATTGCCCTTAACAAAACAAACACAGCAAGACACATCAAACAGAAAACAAATAAAGACCACAAAAATAAAAAAAGTTCACGATTTTAACAGAAAAAGTAAATTGCTGATTAGGGATATCAGAACAACACTTCCCTGAGTGTTCATGGAGTGGATGGGCTGGTGGATCATGCGGCATTGGGCAATTTTCAGGGCATCCAATGCACTTGTACATTTCCTGTAGGAATTTCTCACTCCTCATCTGGCATTGGTGGGCATAATCCAGGATGAACTTGGTCTGCTTGTTGAAGTCTCTCTGCCTCAACTGTCCAGCCGGAGTGGGGGTGGGTGCTGCTTGTCCTGAGGAAGATGCACCTGGGGGTCTCTGGTCCAATTTAGCTAGCTTCAAGGGTTGTTGGAGGCTGCTTTCATTGTCTGTGCTCAAAAACGCGACCCCTGCTCTTCTGCAAAACATGCTGATCATAACTGAAAAATACCAGCTCTTCACCTTTGGATCAGTGATGCATCTGGTGAGTTGGTTTCTGATGACTGAAGCTGCATCAAATGGTGTGTCCGTGACAATGGCATACAACAGCAGAGCCATCTCATAGGTGACCTTAGCGGTGTAGGATGTTGGCATCAGATTGCAGCAGATGAAATGGGGCCACAAATTCAGATCAGGCATCTGCAACGCGTTTGCTGGAAATCCCAGAGGGTTTTCTTGATCATCCATCTCCCAGCTTGTGCCTTCTTTTGCCAATCTAGACAGAACGACTTGTTCCAGTGGTTGATTCGGATGCAGGGCGGCGATGGTGTCCCTGTAATCGGTGCTGACTCTTGGCAGTTTCTAGATGGCCCTAATAGCTTCTGTGCTGCAATA